CATTTTTTACATCCTCTCGTGTGAACTTAATATATTCATCCACAGAGTTGATGTGATCAGTGAAATGTTGGACTTCATGGGCTTTCATTTTAACAGCGATAGATTAATTATGTGTACGAGTAAAGAGATTACACAGCTGAGAGCTGGGGTCAAGGATTACGTTTCTGCTGAAATCCAATTTCAATTGCTTGACAAAAAATATCTAATAACACTGGAGCAACAAATTTGATAGATTTTAGATAAATTAGATAAACTTGATATTTTCTCAAAACCTTTAGACACAATGAAACTGTCTAAGGGTTTAAAAAAGAAAGGATGTCAAAAATGATATGACTCACTTTAACAGTTGCACATTAAATTTCACAAGGACTTCGATGCCGCAGCTCATCTTGTTTGGTAACAAATCGTACAAAGTTTTATGAAACACAATTCAAAACTGACATATTATTTTTACACACAGAAAAATATACTATTTATTAATTTTATTTGTTGTGATATTTTTAATGATTGTGCCTTGGTTCATGAGGAAAATTCTCAAACATTCAAAGTAAACTTCCTCAGTCCTTCAGGTAAACCTCCATCCAATCAGCTGCAACATGCAAATCCAGCAGGTGTCGTAAGGTGTGGGGAGGGAGCAGATCGGAGGGGATATTTTTAGAATAAACACCCGCTGTCAAGTGTGTCGACAACAGTTTTTACCTGAATGTGTTTTACGAAGACAAACTAAAAGGGTTCAGAGGAAAACTTCCACATGTCCTAAACAAACAGAAGGACTTGGACAAACTGTTGACTGAGGACTTGGGGACCTCCATTTGTTTTTCTTTTCCTCTCAGAAATGTAAAAGTTATGGGTGTAAAACGTGAACAGGAATGTGCTTTGGGACGTGGTATCATTGGGAAGAAAAGCATTCTGTTGAGATGGAGACCGACCTGAGGCTGGAGTCGAGTCTGTGGGTCGGAAACAAGAGATACCTGGCTGTCCTGACAGGCTGGCATTTCAGATGGACCGAGGCAGATAAGAAGAGCCGCGACAAGAGAACAGGTGAGTGAAGCAGGAGCTGTATGACACTGGAGTTAAACMAGCTAAACACACACAAACACACACATTACACACACACACACAAAAAACATACAGTCACTGCATTTTATTTGTCGAGTTATTCATGACTTTTTAAACAGCAAATAAAAACAAACAGAAAATATATATAATTTAAAGATAGCATTACAATATCCTTCCCTTTAAGAGATGACAATTTCCACACTTTATTTAGTTCTTAATTTACAAATGATCACAATAAAAAAGTTTTTGTTCCAATTTTTTGTCAACTTCATTGTGCGAGGTCTTTCATAAACTGCATGCAGAAAACGTGAAGAACAAGTTGAACAGCACCAACAAGACTCCTGAGAAACCGTTTACACAAAACACAAGCTGGAAAATAACACACACACACACACACACACACACACACACACACACACACACAC